ACATTGACGAATTAATTTATAATCATAACACATCGATCGTTTTTTAATTATCAAATATCACATTTGCTTTCCCTTGATTGGTTCCTATAACAAAATTATTTCTCTCAGGGCAAACAAAAAATATATCTTTTTTGTCTATATTTTAACATTCAAAGCTTATTAAGACCAGAGGAAAACATTTGGTTATGATTTCTGTCAATAAAAGTTCAAATTCATAAACTTAATCACATGAGCAAGTTTTCGTCACAATAAAAGTCGATCATTCGAATAGATGAACATTCAATTCATTACAATTCCTTTCTTCGTCTTCGGAGATTGATCAGATTCACTCTCGGCTATTCTTTCAGAGGTAGTGCGTTTCCGAGCCACAGCGTAATCCCACACAGTGTGCATAACATTCTAGGATAAGCTCATGCTTAGTAAATGTGAATGCGTATTCCAAAAAGCGAGCGACATTGACTACCAGAACCGGCTAATGAGGAAACATCGCGCAACAGTGAGCGTTCTAAGAGACTACGTAAATTTTACCTGATGCATGGGATCGTATCCCATGGAGCCATCGTTGTACGGCTGCGAACCGTAGTCGCTGCCGTTTATTCCCATGCTGTATCCGGCCATGTCCTGCGGTCCTCCGGGTGGCGCCGGCGACATCATCGGCGTCGGGGTGCCTTGGCTGGCACCGCCCATGCTGTATGGCGATGCTCCTGCAAAAGCTGCTGTAGAAACAATCGCGGTGCATACAAAATTCGAGGGTGCGATTTTTTAAGTTCTTTTTAAGCCACAGCGATTTTGTCTCTCGTGTCTCGCGAGCTTATGCTTTCTTTTTGGCTCTCGTGAAAAACGTAATATCGTAGTCTAAATTATTGCAAAGATATATTTAAGGAACGATATAAAAAGGCTAATTAAACTTATATAATATATCATTGCTTCGAAATGTAAATGTATTAATAATTTCGATTCGTCTTTTTCCTCCAACAATATCCGAGCCTTCTCATATTTTGCTTCAGATTTGTATGAACTGTATCCGGCGGCTTCTGCAGTAGAGTATTCCGCGCTTGTAAAACCTTCACGCCATTCGAGACAAGCGTTGTTTCGCAGAGTTAGGTCGTTAGAATTCCGTTTCTTTAATTACGAGAGGACCGCGGGTCGTTTCATCGCAAACGTGGGCGAGGAAAGACAAACGTAGAGAGTGCTGAAAGAAATGCGAGAAGCCCGGAATTTCCATCGTACCCCAGCGTCTCACCCATCCTCTCTCACCATCTGACTCGTGTTCTCCCCTTCTCTCCCAAGTATAATTGGTGAGTTAAAAATATCTCGCGCGTCCGAAATAAAGTGAGATGCCTCGGTAGTTAAGCGAAGCGCACGTAATTGCGACCAGGGTGAGATCCACGAATCCGTGGAATTTCGGAATGGGATCGGGAATTTTTCTTGCAATTTTTACGAGAAAAAGGAATTCTTATCGCCTTCGAGGCTGGTGGTGAAAAACAAAAGTAGATAGTAAGCGAGGATGAAATGAGAAAGTCCATCCCAAAAGATGAAACGAAAACTTTAGCTCTATATGTGCTTCGCAACTTTTGAAAACAAGAAATTTTTTAAAATTTTTTAGTCACGAAGATGTTTCTTCTAAGCATCACGTGCCAAAGAAAACAAACGCTAGATTTATTCTTCGTCGGCGATTCATCAACGGTTGCAATAATAATGTCACTGCGGCGCCGAACAATAGGCAGTAACTCAGTCGTCTAATGATTTACAGTAATGAGACTTCCTCTATCTCGATTCTTAGCTTAATGCTTAAAAAAATATGAGAAAAAATATGTACCACGATTTGTCTGTTAATTACTTCAATTTACAGGAGAACAATTTACATTTCTCGCTTTTAATTCGCTTTTCCTCAGCGAAGTTCCAATATAACCAAAAGAGCAATAAGTCCGGGAGAGCATTGAGAGATAAAAATAATGGTAGCAACATAAAAGATAGCACTTTAGAAAACGTTTTATAAATTGTCATTCATAAAATAAAATTGTTTCTGATTTTCATTAACAAAATGTTGCTTTCCAATCACGGAGATATTCATACATTTTATCAATTTTGTGATTACTATTACAAAATTTTCCTCATGCTTTAAGCAAATTCGTAAAGGGACACCCACTTAGCGAAGTTGGAACTTACCAGCTGCCTTCTTGGCTGCGTACAGATTCGCTTCCTCCTGCGCTTTACCGATGTTCTTCTTATAGCGTATCCTCTTATTTCCGAACCAATTGGACACCTGATAGCAAATAGAATAAAGATACGTGCTCATTTCAATTTGCTAAAGAGTTCTCACGCACGTCCAATATACCTCATTCTTTTTCATCCAAGTGTTTAAAAAAATATTTTTTACTCAGCGCCATAATATTTTCTTTAAAGAAGAAGCTTAAAAACTTTTTAAAATTATTTATAAAAATTAAAAGCCATGGGATGATGCCAAATATTATAAGTTACAAAAGTTCATCGTCTAATACATATAAGAAAAGATAATGGACGATACCTGACTCACGGTAATTCCGCATTTTCGTGCGAGCTCTTCCTTGGCTTCTTCGCTTGGATAGGGATTACTAAGATGAGAATAAAAGTATTCATTCAGAATTTCGGACGCCTGTTTGCTGAAATTTCTTCTTTTACGTCTGCAACAAAAATTATTCATGTTGATTCATGTTAATTGCTGCGAATTTGGATATACAAAAGGCATGAAAATGATTATGATAATAAATGGAATGCATTTTATATACATCTTTACTTGTATTACTTGTCATCACTTGTATATCACTTGTATATCTATTTTATCATTACTTGTATTATTGTTTCAACACGAACCTGGCATCCAAAAATCGACTCCTCAGGATCATCACAGCTTCGCAAGTGGACTGTTTCAGCTGCATTTGGATGCTGGAGAACTTCTTGTGGATAATTTGGACCATCCTTTCAATTTCTTTAGGCGTAATCGGCCTGGTACGACTCTGTTCCCTCAACAGGTTCATTACATGAGTAGTGAATTCGTTACAAGCCTAAAACAAATAAAGACAAAGTCGGGTTTTACCAACCATTAATCATTCAACAGAAGACGCGTCGAATCTAATGTAAGACATCCATTACGAGATAAACTGTTAATTAAAAATATAAAACTGTTTCAGAGCAAATTTGAGTACATTTCGAGCTCGTCGACATGATGAAAGGCGGAGAGAGCTAAGACTAGCAAGACACGAAGGAAAGTACTATGATCAGAACATGAGAGGAAAAGTCGAGCGACGAAGCGAGAGAGGTAGTGAGAGACGAAGGACGCGTACGTATAATGCATTATTCCTGGTGGCTGCTCGGTTTAAGGGAAAAAGGACTTTGCTCGATATCAGTATTCGAGGCGAGCACGCTGTCTCCCGAAAGGGAGCGAGCCAGAGAGATAGAGAGCGAGACGGGCGGTGTGAGTCGAGCAGGGGGAGTGGCTTTTCCTGAGGGAAGGAGCCAGGAAAAGGCCGCGGGAGGGTGTCAGGATATGGAGGGTGGGCAGTGGAGAAAGGGGGATCGAACAGGGTGGCTTGCAATTTCGAAATGGATTCCATTCCGCCGACGAACTCCCCTCTCTCTTTTCTCCTCTCTCGATCCACTATGCGGCTTCTCTTCCTCTTCGTTCCTTTCTTCGTGCGGGACTCAACTGGGGTGGATCAACCCTGTTCCCGTCTTTTCCCTATTGCACGTGACGGAGAGAGAGAGAGAGAGAGAGAGAGAAAGAGAGGGGAGAGAAGGGACAGAAAGAGGGAGAAGGTGCAAAGAACGAAAGGAACGTTGCTGAATTGGATGGAAAAGCCAGTCACATTTCTCCGGACTGATTTCCTTTAATTTCTGAAACGCTTCAAGTCTCAGAGTAAATGATACTATCATCTGATAAGTTCTTATGCTACTGAGAATCGACAATATTAACCTTCTGCAATCCTATGTCAAGACGGATTTGACACAATGTGTTACGGTAATTTATTGTATAATTCTTGAAGCATACAAGATTTTATACACAATTATAATCGACAAACTAATTTTTGGGATTATCATAAATTCCTCCAAGTAATAAAAATTCTTTGAGTCATGTAAGATCAACCGATTATAAATGGCAAACTATATTTTTTGGGATCTTCATAAATTCTTTCAAATAATAAAAATCCTTTGATTTATGTTGAACCAGTTGAATAGATGAGATTATTAAAGATAAAATATTCGATTTTCAGTCATTCACAAGAATTAGGAAAGAATTAATCTATGTTTTCGATTATTTCAAGGATTATATTTCTGAGACTCTTGACATCCATATATTTCCGGACATTTCCATATATACTCCGAACATTTCACCAATTTTTCACCTTCGAAGATGACGTTGGTTTAATCTGGACACTTGGGATAGAAACTGAATTACAAAATAGCTAGGATCTATGCCACTCTCCACGATACAAATCAGCCGCAAGCATAAATTCGATTATGCAACCATCAGGAACTCTCTCCGGGTTGTTTCCCTAACCGCGGGAATAACCGCGACGAGAGAGAATGAGAGAGAGAGAGAGAGAGAGAGAGAGAGAGAGAGAGAGAAAGAGAAGGAGAGCAGGCGCCAGTATATTTAGCAATGCACACGTCGGAATTTCCATAACGTTGGCGAAGCCAGGCATGCTGGCCTCCGCTATATATTCTTGCAATACGCGTCTCTGTATTAATAGAGCGTGTCGCAGTAAAATTAGAGCGCCGTGAGAAAATTCGCTTCGCCAAGAGCCACTGAACGCTTTCGTTGAGACACTACCGTTTCTTTCATTCCTCGCAATAAATAACACGACGGTTTAATTAGTTTATTTAAAGGAGCATAAAGATGTCGTGCTTTTAGTCAAGTTATTCCGAGATCCTGTTTCGTTCAATAAAATATTACCCGCCCGTTTGGGATCATCTTTTTTTTCTCTCAAATTATGGCAATAGTTCAAAAGATATTTACGGAAGATATTTACATTCTGCTATCATACTTATAATACGATTTACGGTGGCTCATCGAACGGATATATAGCCGCATAGGCAATAAAACAAAATATTTATGCGCGCGTAAAAAGCGCACTTCATCCCCGCCCCCCTCCTCCCGCAAACGAAAGATGCATTCTGCATTGCTTTTCCCGAGATACAATACAGGAATAGTCCGAGGTGCGCGCGGTCGGAATCAGAGTTGGGAATCGGATAAAATAAAGGCGGGCATGCACCGACGAAATTCATGGTAGAGACGATGTTTGCTGGCGGTGATCACGCGATCTCGTAAAACCCGATGCGGTTCTATTCTCGTGCTTGTCACGCCATGTTGCATAGTCAGGCAGACATTCACCCTAATGCAGCAGAGTCGACCGAATTTGAATAGTAAATTTCGCTTATGGCCGAACTTTCTGTCCTGACAACGTTGGCCCGCTAACTAAACCAATTACTGAACTTTTCGGATCCGACGAAATATTTATATCGTACGTTTTAGCAAATTTTCCTCTGATTATACCGTGCGCAATTGAGTTCTTTTCTTCTCGGGAGAGAGCTTTAACAAACTATCGTTACACTCATTATTCTTTCACGTATAATTTAAGTTACAAATGGCAATTTCGTGGTAAGTCCGTTCGAAATTAAGAAAGAGATTATGGAAGGAAAAGGAAGGAAAAAGAATTGGAAAAGTGGGAGAAGATTTAAAACTCGTTAACGGCCCCGTTTATCGACGGACCAACCCTCGGCACGCACGAGTTGCATCGCAAAGTGCACGCGAATGCATATGTTTTCGGCGTGCATATTGTTGCGGCTACAAAGAGCCACGCACGCGTTACAGGGGCGGATCCAGGGCGTATCCCAGAAGACGGTCACGAATCATCGTTTACGATTTCCACCGACGACGGCAGAGCGCGAATTGCTACTTTCCAAGAACTGTAATCTTCAATTTCCGCATCGACGCGACGGCTCGCCACGCGAGATAAACGCGCTTCCAGCTTCGACTAAATCGCGAAAGATGGTAACAACGCACGCGGCGTTAACGGCTCTTCCAACATTCTAAAATAAAAGGATGCGACGTTGCTGCCATTAATGGCGAGGCGTGACATCAAAATCATTTTGCGCGAAAATACAGTATGCCCTTTTAATCCGACCCTGACGAATGCGCCACCGCGTCGGTGGACCTCCGGGGCTGTGCGTGTTTACCGCGGGGAAACATCAAGCCCGCTGACACACGGTGAAATATGGGGTCGAAGCGGGTGTGGCAATTAAAGCACACGTGCGCGCGTGGGTGTGCATGCACACGACTATACATCCGCAGGGAGCGAACGTACTCGTATATACGCGAGCGGCAAGGAAAAACTGCCGGCGAAAACGCGAGCGGCGTTAAAAAGAGTTATGCGCCTGGGGCCGATGAGCGGGCCCTATTTACGGTAAAAATAGCCGATTACGCGCGACGTCATGCGAATGTAAGGGCTTTTACGCGCGTATGTCAAGCGGAATGACCGGTAATCTGTCCCGCCGGTGAAAAAGGGATGTGAACACGACCGGTGATGAGTACGCGCGATTTTGTAATCGCCATGCGACTTTGCCTTGTGACGGTATGATAATCGCACAGATAGCTATCTCTAAATCGTGCTGAATTATTTTCCAAATAAATTAATTAAAAGTAAAATTATGTGCAAGAGTCAGCGTAATTCCGTTTGAGAAAATTTCCCACGTAATAATTTCGTGAAATGTTTCGTGAAAGCGCTTTGACCATTTAACTCATATATCAGATTATTATATGTATTATTAATTAGTCACGTGCATTTGAGAGCTTTGATCATTATTAATTAATATTTATTCGAGTTAATCGACTGAGGAACTTTTTACTTTTACTTCACCAAATTCACAAGGGTCTTATCCAACGTCAAAACTGTCCTGTCGCGTCGAATTATCGCGGCGCGCCACGTCGCGTCGCGACCGGGTCATGGCAGCGATTTCAAGAGGAAGCGACCGAGGGGGAAATTCTTAATGAAACTGCTTGCGATAACATCATCGAATTTCCGTCGGAGCGCGGCAATATCTCGACGTAGTGATTTGCGTCCTCTTGAAAGAACCCGTGTATCACGCGACATACAGGCAAGGTCCGGCACGCGAGATTTTACTTAGCGCGAGCCGCTTCATTAGCACGCGAGTCGCCCTAGCCGAGACCAGCTCGACGGCAGTCATTTCTCTCGAATGTACGTGCATAACATTCTCCGTCTTATCAGTCCCCCTTTCGAGCTAGTCGCCATTAAACGTTCGTACAGAAAAAAAAGTACACGCGTTTCCGTCATAATCGAGAATCATTAAGAGAATGCTGACGTGACTGCCAGACTCCGATAGAATCGTGTCAAACAGATACATTAGCACGTGTTGTATTTTACTCGTGAAAAAGGAATTTGGATTCTGTGAAACTAATACGAATTAGTGTGGAACAAAAATGGTATTTTCGTCAGTAAAACAGACATCAGGTAGGCCTATTCTGTTACTTTTAACGACAGTTCGGTATCCTTATACTGTCGTTGCGCAGCTTTTTCACAATGTAAAATACCTGCGTAACGACATCCCTAACTAGTACAATAAAATTGTCGTTAAAGAGTTACAAAATAGGCCTACAGATTCCTTAATATCTGTTTAAATCTATATGTATATAGGATGTTCCAAGAGGAAAGGTCAATATTCTGGGAAAAATAACTTTAAGTAAAAATGTTTATAAACACGTGTCTTATTTTTTTGAAAGCTTTCACGGATATTTTCTTCAGGAGTGTCAAAGAGTTTGCGAGTTATCGCAGTGTCGTGATCCACTGGCTAATGCCATTATGGATCACGACATGACGATAATCTGCAAACCCTTTGGCACGTGTCTTCTGAACGATTTTCGAGATTGAACTTGTAGTCACAACATTAAAAAAGAAATACTACGTACATTTTCTAATAATCCATTATTCAAGTGAGACGTGTTTAAAGTTTATAATAAATTTGCAAAAATCCCACTGTTCAAACTATCGGAAACCGTTCAGAATAAGATATAAACGTTCATATAAACATTTCTGCTCAAAATGACTGATATATCGTCATCTCCTAAAATATTAATCTTTCCCTCTTATTAATCCTGAGACACCCTGTATATGTATGACACGCCGCAAGGGAATTGTTGACGCTTTCCTTTTGGTAGAAGATCGTGAAAGTACGTGCCGTGAAAATCGCTTGATTACGACGATCATCTCACTAGCGATTTAATAACGCGTTATTAATGAAGATCACCGTCTAATACCCGTGGATTACGCAGAATTACAGTGTGAATTTTCGATCGATCGTTTTATCGCGCGGACTCGTGACCGCCTGTGATCGTTGTTTGTATTATGGTGAGAATTCGCTCCAGCATATTACGCAACCTTAACGAGACCGCGAGATCGTCGGCGGACGATAAATTCGCGTTGACGTCGTTGAATTTCACGAGCGGAGAGATTATCGATGGTAGAATCGAGAGGGCTGATAGCGCACCGGGATGGCCGAAATTTGTCAGCCGCCGGATCTCGACGATAACCACGAGGTTACGCGTTTAAATTTTTCATTTCACCGAGAGTTCTCTCGGCGAGAGTGAATAACGGCGCTCGTTTACGCGCCGCGAGTTCATTTCAGCCTTTCAGTTCGCTTTTTCTCTCTCTCTCTCTCTCTCTCTCTCTCTCTCTCTCTCTCTCTCTTATTTCTCTTTCTTTTTTTTTCGCGCTCTCAAAGTCGGACGACGATAAAACGACCGATGTAATTCCGCGACCCGAATTCAATACTCGATATGGCGCCGATAATGGGCTGCCGCCGTTCGCTCGCGGCGAATAATATTCATAAGCGGGATTTGCATAAAGCGAGCATGTTCGCTTGCTCTATCTCTCGCTCTCCCCCCCCCCCTCTCTCTCTCTCTCTTTGGAATGAATAATTTTCGTGAGAGGGAGTGAGAGGGGATTTTGCGACGTCGCGCGCGCAAACGTAAAAATGTTTGACTGCGGCGCCGCGCGCTGCGAAAATCAATACGCGAGTTAAACTTAACCCGTTTGGCTTAATGGGTCGGTTGGCCATTTTGCGTTTGCAGTACATTTATAAATTCATCAAGATTAAATTCGGCGAACCAAACGCGAGTGTCCATTATGCAATTTGCAGACGGAAATCCGGTATACACAAAAAGCGCACGATGTCCTCTCTCTCTCTCGTAAAAGCTAAAGCTGAAATATATTTTAAGCCACTTGATAATATTTTTTCGACATTTTCTTTATACAAACCTGTTCGTATTTTTCTAGTTCTTGATGATAAATTTGCCTAATCTGAGCAAGTTTGGCCCTATAGTCCGAATGCTCGATCGCGTTGTCCGGTTGCCCGGGTGGACCAGCCGCAGCTGCCGCGGATGCCGATGCAGCGGCCCCCGCACCACCGCCCTTCTCTGGTCCAGCGACTCCCTCGGCGATCAGCATGTTGTCCAGCCTCATTAGTTGCGGATCTGGCGGCTCCTCTTCTTGCGTGTTTCTCAGTGATAAAACTGAAAACAGACGAAAGCGCGTCGAAATTACAATATATTCATATACATAGGGGAATATAATATTATCTCTCTAAACCTGAATCAGCGGATAATCACATTAATATCAGTGTGCCATTGGTAATCAGTGGATGAAATGTGAGATCCCTAATCTGACTGATCTTTATTATGTGATCTAACTAACCTTGTTTTAGTGCATAAATTCAATGAATATGGTATTGGAAAATTGAAATTAACATGCAAATATCAGTATTTTAGTTATATAATGCTCAAACATTCTTCCTTTTTTAATTGAACTTTATTGATTAGCAGTACCAAGCATGCCACTGAATAGCAATTAGTGACTATCCACTGATTCAGATTTAGAGAGTAGAAAAAAATAATTTTAAGTTAGAATAATTATTTTACAGAACTGTGACTTTTGAAATCACGTTTCTTGTGTATTTTACGTTCGTGACTTCTATACTCTGAATTATTTAGAACGATTAATTCGATTTGAAGAATCTCAAAGAGATAGAGGGGAATACATCTGTATGTATTCACGTAAAAATAAAATGGGTTGCTTGCAAATCGATCCTAGTTCGGGGTCGCGCGTTTGTCGATCATAAAAGAATCAATTTTGCCTCTGGTCGTCTCCCCAAGCGTCTCCGTCAGTTCTTCTTCTCGTCTTAAGGGCCCGTTGCACACAGTGGTTTAGAACGGGTAGTTCTCCACGGTGTAACAGCGGTTTTATTGTACTTTTATGGCGCATGATGGAGCTGGACGACCCATAAAATCGCAGAGCGAGGGACATTCTATACTCTGCCTTTCGTACATCCCCTGGTTTTCCTACTATCCTCGCGCGAAACTCCCTGCCACCACGAAGATGTTAACCCTGTCGTCTTCGACAGTTAGCATCCTCACCCGAGGCAAATACTGGCATGCAAGCGAAACAAGAAACTCTCAGCTTCTTTGACGAAGCGTCAAGAGGAATCTCTTCGTCAGGGAAAACTGGCATACAAAATAGACCTTGTTTATAGTAAGATTATATCTAGTCAATCTAAAATCTTGACAAATTACGACATATATGATACAATAAAAGATATAAACTAATTGTATCTAAAGATAATGTAAAAACTTTGAAAAAATTTATTGATTATCTTTGAAAATATAAAGATGAATTTTATGACAAAATTGTTTCATATTTATCATCAATTTTTTTTTGCAAATATTTTAATATTATTTCTTACGTTTCTCCAAGAAAATTCGAACAATAATTTCACATTAGTACTTTCCTTCGGTCTCGATGTGACTTTATGAATGAATTCGCGTTTGCAATTGCCCAAGTCGCTACTTGAATTCGCTGAAAACTTTTCTCGTCCGCCACTTTTCGCCACAGCTCGCGAAAAAAAGTCCCCGGAGAGACGAAAGAAAGAAAGAAAGAAAGAGGAACGAAACTTCTCGTGGACTCGCGGAGGCGTGAAATGAATGCGCAGAGCTAATGCATTTATACGAAGTGTAACAATTATGCCAGTGGAAAAGAGGGGCTGGACTTCTGTTTCTTCGGCAAGATTCTAGGGGGATTCTATAGAGAAGACATGTCGCTTTAAATGACAGGGAAACATTTCTTCAAATAAAAAATTGCATTATTCGTAATTTCTGAATTTTTAAAAACCTATTGGAGCTAATTGTTTTCGCGACAGAAAATATTTTTACAGAAAAAAGCAAAATAAGATATTAATTTCGAAAAATCAGAACAAATCTGTTATTTCTGGATTGAACGCTAATTCATTATTCCTTCAGTGACGTTTCAAATGAATGATGTTGAAAATTGAATCACGGTGAAGAAAGATATGGTCAAATCAAACGAGCTCCAAGAATGAAGTCAAATAAGTTTCGAAATCGTAGCACGTTCCGTGGCACTTCCACGGGTGACTTAAGAAGGGGTTAACGACAGTCAACGCAGCCATTAAAACTTTCGTGCAGTGCCGAGAACTTTTCACGGCGCTGTGGGTAATTAAAAATGAAAAACCTCTGGACGGCGTCTCTCGCCGAGGGCGGTGGAATAAAATGCCGGTTTACGGCGATGCGGAAGAACTTGCACCATTGAAAGTTAAAAGGCCAAGCAATTTCGATCGCTGATACGAGCGCTCGTTTTAAGGTAGAAATAAATGTTTATCCTCTTATCTATGAAAAAAGATTATATCATTTTTAATCCTTGTAATCGAAGTTTATTTTATATTATAATTTATAACATAATGTGGAAAAAAGAAAGACTCTTGAGAGAAAGAAAGAAGAAAAAATTAATCCCACAGCATATAATAATAATCATTCTATAATTACAAAAACCGTGTCTTGAAGTCACTAAATAGACAAAATATTCGTGAAATTTAACTTTGGAGCTAAATTAGCGCCGGATAATACATATTTTATGTAACTTATATTTTATGTAATATTTTATGTAACTTTACACTTTAAGTATACTTAATTAGCTAACTAACCTGACAAAGGTTAAGATAATTGCACTCACTTTTGAATTTGAGCTAAATAAATTGATATTTTATCCGTTTAGATGACTTTAGTGTCTTCTACAATTTTTATTCTTTCTTTTCCCTTTCGTGATAAAAATTGAAAATCAAAAGGGTTAATAGAACTGTCAGTTGAATTGATATCAAATGTATACGCATACATGTATTATGTGTACCATGTTTCGAAAGTCAGATGGCAACGGTACTTAGTTCCCTTATTATTGGTATCTAATAACAAAGAGTCTAAGAAAACGTGCAAATTAAATGTTCTTTCGGAATTATTTTCGTATTCACGCGGGAGACGGGCAGACGGCGGGGGTGGCTGGCTTACGAGCAATAATCTGGCTATTAGGGGGTGTAAGGGGCGACTCTGCGTGCTGCCAAGCAGAAGAGGGGCCAGGGATGGCAGCAGCCTCCTGCGGGGGTCCTTACAAGCGCGTAAACTCAGTTTTACTAGCAGTTAACATTTTACGACTCAGACGGTCTGCTCGAGCCGTTTGCTCTCGTTGCTCCCCACGTCTCTGTCTTTCTGCCACATTTTCCTGCTATCCTTTGCCTTCTCTCTCTCTCTCTCTCTCTCTCTCTCTCTCTCTCTCTCTCTCTCTCTCTCTTTCTCTACGATTGACACGTGTACGACGCGCGGATCTGTATATAGGACACCCAGTATATAAACTCATACCTGCTAAAACGTAATATCATCGTTCTCAAGGATCGTTTGCGAATAAAGTATATTAATACGACACCTTATTGAAGAGAAGGCTATTTGCAGGCTAATTATACGACTAATTTATATGCCGCGAAAACGTTTAAATGATTAAGAAAACCTTGAAAAATAACGCGTTAATGTTAACACTAATGTCTTTGATTACGACGAGTAGCGAATCGTAGATATTCTTGTATGTAAATTATTAAATTACTTGTCAATTTAATATGTGATATTATCTTCTTTATTCACGATTGCATTTTCTTCTGCAAATAGCGTAAAAAGGATTTCGTCGCACAATTCGCAGAATCAGATACGTATGTGTATATAAATTCACACAGAAATATTTAAGTACAAAGATCTGCTTCGATAGAAAAATGGAATAACCTCTTATTCATTAATTAGATTTATTATCATCGGAGACTATTTTAAATAGTAATTGCCTTATATGTTTAAAATCGAATCCAGATCGAGCGAGTGAGCAAGCGACGGAACAGACGAACGAATAACTCGCTTCAATGAATGCGAACGGCACAGTAGCAGTAGCTCAGGCAACTTTAGGTATCACAAACGGATTATAATTTCATGGGTCAAAACCTCGGTTTGCCTTCGCCATGGCCCGCTTTTGTAATAAACGTCGAGCTTTCTCGATCGCCTTTTAACATCCTAGAATCGACCTCGTATTTCCTCCTTCACGTATATCTGTACCCCTGTCTGTTCCTTTCGCTATCCGCCGTCACCGTGTTGTTTTCCACCGCGGAAAGCGGGATAGCAGCCGACAACCCTTTGTTACCGTGCCTTATCTTAATTGCTTTCACGGGTTCCCGTTTAGATCAATACACACTGCCGACGTTCTGCCACTGGTCTTCTCTGTTGCTGTGCTTTGCTCCACGAATCTAAATTATCCCGAGGGTTGTGTTTCGTCGCACGTGGACGCCGTCCGTACTCTCTCTTTCTCTTTCTCTCTTTCTCTTGCATATTTTAAGAGCACCGGTTGGTACCCCGCTATAAGACTCGCTAGGATGGTCTGAGTTATCGTACACCCGGCGTCGTTCGCGAGATTAGGGCAGCTTTTCTCTACAACGTTGTCGCCATTTTAACGCGGATGTGGAAACGAGGTGTGGAAAAACGTCAGAATACCGAAGACGTCATTAGATATGTATCGGTATGTACAATGCAAACGCGATAAAAGCGAGATGACGAGAGCATTATTAAAGTTAAAGTTAATAGTTTGTAAATTAGAAAGATGCACAAAATTGGAAGAAATTATTAAAAAAAAATTATTAAAATTATTTATGCAAAATATAATTTGTTTTTTTTTCAATGCATCTTCTTTACCGTACTTAATATAAAATTATATATTTAATATGGCTAATTCAGCGTTTCATGTATAATATTAATTTTATTTCTTTATTTTCTTCGTCTTCCCGCAACCTTTCTCACACCTTCATTCCCTAATCCATGCGGGGTAAGACGAGAAGAGGGGGAGGAAAAAGGGAAGGTCGAGATGGCTGCTCTTTTAATTCGAGGGTGAATCCCAGGCGTAGAGCGCGATACGTTCGCTTTCCGAGAGGGAACTGAAAGAGGAGGGAAGAAAGACGCCAATGTCTATGCCCCCCTGGGATCCGATATCGACGCCCCTGCCGTAAAAATATACCGAGCTCTCCTGATTTACGAAGGAAATCGAGATGGCAGGCTCGTGTTTCGAGACTCGTCCTCGCTTGTTCGAGACGATGTGATGCGATGCTAACTCGCGTGCCGGTTTCGAATGTCGAGATGAAAAAAAAAAAATA